GTGAGTACAGTAGAGGTAATAGCTCGCAAAGAATATAGTAAAGGCACCGCACGGCCAAGAAATCGCTCAAAGCAATACAGGGGAAGACGCGGCTGTTGTTGTTGTTGTTGTTGTTGTTGATTTTCTAGCAAGAGAGAAAAAGTCATATTCGTGATAAGGCAACAATGGCAAACACCGACAACGCACGGTATCGGTACTGTACGACCTCTACGTTTTCACCACCTCGCCTTCTTCCCCTTGGCTCTGGGGGGTGCCTCAAACCAACTGGTTTTGCCTCTTCCTTTCTTACCCCACCTTTCTGAATGTTTGGCGATTAGGTACTGGTACCGTCTCCAACCACGCTTAGCCATCTTCAACCGCTTTTGACCGCCTCCGACCGCCTTCAACCGTCTGTTTTACCGCCTGTTTACCGCCTGTTTACCGCCTGTTTACCATTTTATCGCCTGTATTAGCCTTCACCACTCCTTACCGCCTTTGACCACTGTTCACCACCTGTTTGCATCAAATGGGTACCGTACCACATCCAGGTGGTTGGGGATATATTCAGACAAACAAGATTGATTTGAGGCAGGCTTCTTCTTCGCGTTCTTGTTCTTTTCGTAGTCATACATGTAATGTTTACTCTTCATGTTGTATTCATTTCATAAAATGCTTGCAATAAAGAATCGCAAAATTGCATACGGAAACAGTAAAAACGTACAGTATAACCCCATATTGCTGACAATCTAATGCGGACGCTGTAGTTTGGGAGGGATTGAAGATTCGATTCGTGGATCCAACAAAAATATTCCCGGAAAATCTGGGCAAAGCTATAGTCTGACCGGTACCGGTATCATCCATAAAAGCAAAAGGATACAGTGCCAAACTGAACAAACAAAATCAAAACAAGTAATCCATCATGTCCGTCTCTTCCGTAGAACAAACAATCAACCTTGCTAAGAACCAAGGCATGGCCCCTGAGTTTGAATCCTGCCATGCCTATGCCGTGTTTCCAAGCATTACCAGCGTCGCCATCGGCATTGGCGGTAAAGGCGGCACAGGCGAAGTCTTTCTGAAGGATGGCATGAAGCTCGGAGATGCCACATATGCGGTAGGAACTCTCGGTGGTTTCGGCGCTGAAAACATCAAACAGATTGTCTTTCTCGAGAACGCAGAGGCTACACAAAAATTCACCAGCGGCAAATTCGAGCTCAAGTACGATTATCATGCGACGATTGGTGGAGCCAGTGCCGGTGTCTCCGTTGGAACCACTATTGGTGCACAAGGCAATGCTGGTGATGGTGGAAGCCATGGAGTGGCCTATATGAATGGTGTAAAGGTCGTGGCCATCACGAGCAAGGGCCTGTACATTTGTGGACCTATTGCTGGAGGTGCCTTTGCCGAGTTAGGCGCTGGAAAGTATATGTTTACGCCTATCTCGGCATAGAGTGTTGGCACCATTTAACCAGATGATTGATATCGAAGGCGTGGTGACGCGTATCGAATCGAAGCCGTCCTTGAAGGCCAACTTGGATCTAGTACCTCCCAGGAAGACTTCAGCTTATTGATAAAGTTACGAAACCGATGTGTCACAGAGTATGCAAGTGTAGGCTCAACGACTGAATTTGTCAGGACTGAACGATTGTTTAACTTTCTGTTCTAAAGGTACATTGCCACAATGCCAATCATAGGGCAACTCTGGGATGCCCATGGTGCACTTGCACTCTTCCGCTAATCTTGCCCCACCTTCCTCCCTAGCTAGAGAGCTCAACTTCTTGACCTCGCTACCGTCCATTCAAAGCACGTTCAAACCTCCTTTGACTTGAATGCAGACACCATGGAAGTGCCCTACAACACCAAATTGGGAATCCCTGAAAATCTTTTCATGACTATGGCGGTGATATTCTCGGCAAAGAGCACCATGTTGAGATTACTCAGTTCACTGTCATTGACTTTTTTTTAAAACATGCATTCTAATCTATCCTGTTCTTTTGGTATTTC